AAATGGAGCAGAAACAGCAGTGTGTGGCTGACTGAATAGGCGTCTACCCCTCTGCTCCTTCTAGGGCACAGCTGCTGCTCTTCTACCCCCTCTGCCATCATCACATTTTCCTCTTTTGTGCATCATTTCCCTCACTACACAGACTGCTGTAAGAGTTACCTTTAAAGAAATCCTCTCTTGACCCCACCTCCCCTCCAATTATTGCTTTTCTATTTTACCCCATTTTAAAAAATAGATTTTATTTATTTATTTGAGAGAGAGAGAGAGAGCGAGCGAGAGCGTGAGCAGCTGGGAGGGAGATGGAGAAGCAGACTCCCACTGAACAGACTCCCCGGATACAGGATTTCAGGATCCTGGGATCATGATCTGAGCCAAAGGCAGATGCCCAACCGATTGAGCCAGGTGTCCCTTATTCTGTCCTTTTGAGAATACAGTTTCTCAAAGGAGTTGTCTATAGCCCTTGCTATAGACAACTGCCCTTGCTATAGACAACTGCACTTGCTTTCCTCCTGCTCTTCCTTGGACTCATTGCACTCAGGCCCTTGTTTCCACCAGTCCTCTAAACTAATTCCCGCTTTTCAGGGTCTCCAGTGATCTCCAAGTTATCAAGTCAATGGTGATTTGTCAGCTTTCCTTTTACCCTGTGTGGGAGTAGCACTGGCCCAGGTGCCTTCCCCTTTGCCCCTGGCTTCATGCCTCCTCCTGATACTGTTTATTCCTTCTCCACCTCCCTTGGCAGCCCTGCATCTGCCTCCCAACATGGCCATGAAATGTTCCCTCACGACATTCATTCGCCTGGACCCCATCTTGTCCTGTGACTATCAGTAACACCTATGTGCCAAGGACTCCCAAGTTATATGTCCAGTCCTGACCCCCTTCCCAAAATTCCAGGTTCTATTATAGAACATCCTATCCACCCTCTGTTTACAGGTCTACTAGATACCTCAACTCATCATATCCCAATTTAAACTTGTGATTTTCCACCTCCCTAATTTCTTCCTCACCTTAGTAAATGACATCACCATTCATCCACCTGATTCTCTGTTATACCCTAAATTCTACAAATTCTACCTTCAGAATATGTTCCATATTTGGTCACCGCTGCCACTGCTGTTCCAGCCATTTGTCTTGTATATGGACACCTTAACAGTCTCCTAACAGATCTTCCTGCTTCTACCCTTACCTAACCCAGAACCTCCATGCAGCAGCTGTGATATTTTTTAAGCAAAAATCACACCACATCACACTCAGCTTTCAGCATTCCAGTAAGCTCATGTTGCACTTGAAATAAAACTAAGGTCCTTAAGATGTACATGACATTAATAAGCTGAGTCTACCTCCCACTGCTCCCCTCCTTGCTGAGTGTACCTCCCACCGCTCCCCTCCTTGTTCACTCTACCCCAGCCACTCCAGCCTCCTCACTGTTCCTCAGCACATCAAGCATATTCCTGCCCCAGGGACCTTGTACTTGTACCTCCTTCTGCTTGGAACAGTTTCCCCTGCTACCTAAACAACAGGCTCTCTCACTTTGTTCAGATCTTTGCTCAGCTGTTGCCTCCTCCAAAGGGCCTGCCTTTCCTGCTCACCCTATCTAAAACAATAGCCCCTTGACATGTCACTCACATTGGGCGTGTAGCCCCTTACCCTGCTTTATTTTTCCCCATAGCACTTAACACTACCTGACGTTATATTAGGTGTTGGCTTCTTTCTTCCTTTTTTTAAGATTTTATTTATTTGACAGAGAGAGATCACAAATAGGCAGACAGGCAGGCAGAGAACGAGAGAGGAGGAAGCAGGCTCTTTGCTGAGCAGAGAGCCCGATGTGTTACTTGATTCCAGGACCCTGGGATCATGACCTGAGCCGAAGGCAGAGGCTTAACCCACTGAGTCACCCAGGCGCCCTAGGTGCTTGTTTCTTCATTGCCCTTTGTTCTCATTACAGTAGGAGTCCCATTAGAGCAGGGGTTTGTCTCTCTTATCCACCGTTTCCCCAGTGTCTGTACACAGTGGATGTGACTGAAGAGATGAAGGAAGGATTGAGAAAGTGAAACAGCAAATGAGTAAAGGAACAAGTGGCAGCCTGGGGCTCCTGGCAGTCCTCCAGCAGAGGACGCCAGGGTCCCATTCCTTGGCTGCGCAAGGCTAAGGCCTGGATGAAGCCACCAGTGTTCCCTGCAAAGGCCCCAGGCTAGGACACAGTGCCCCCTAGTGTCCAGGACACGTGCAGCTCCAGGGCGAGGCCTTAGAATCCTTAAGATTTGCAAAGACTTTTTGTTTTACAGACTGGTTGGATTCTCACAAAAACTGCCATAAAGCAAAGAGTCTTAGATTTGTAATGAAAAAGCATGCCAGAAAAGAGACCCAGAGTCCTCCGTTCTAGTTCTGGCCATAACCCTAATTCTCTGGGTAACCTTCAGTGTCCTAGGATATGCTGAGTTGTCAAGGGCTGGCTTGTCACTGTAGAGTGGAGGGGTCCTTGCTGCAGACAATGGGACTGGGAAACCTCCTGGCCTCAGCGTGCTTTATGGCCGGCAGCCTGATCGATCATGAGAAGACTTTCCCTGTTATAGAGAAGACATCCCCCCCTCCCATGAGCGGGGCATAAACCTACCTCCCTCTGCCTCTAACATCCTTCCAGGCTTTTCTCTCTGTGGCACAGCACTGAACCCTGGTGCCCACAACCTACTTTCACACATTGCCTTTGGAGACGTCTTTCAGACATCCGGGAGTCTGGTGTGCAGTTGGATTCTTAAATCTGGAGTTCAGTGGGACAGGTCTGTGCTGAGATGTACTTTTGGGAGTCCTGAGCCTTTAGATGGTCTATGAGATCTGGAGAAGGAATTGGCTCACTTATAGTGGTGGTTCTCCACCTTGGACTCCAACTGATGAAATCTTAGCTTCTGGGTTTAGGACAAGGCAGGGGCATTTTTTAAAAAGGCTCCAGGTGATTCCATGTGCAGCCAGGGTTGAGATACACTGAGGTGAAGCCCCAGGCAGGACTCTGGCAGAAGAGGGGCCAGCAGAGGCTGGGAAGGAGAGATCTGTGGGGAGGGAGGAGAACCAAGTGAAGATGGTCTTTTAAGGAGGGATGTCAAATGCTGCTGAGAAGTTGGGGAGAACATGTTGCTTTTGTTTTGGGGACCATAATAAGAGCGATGTAATGGATCAGTGGGGCCTACAGGGAGACTTGAGTTGGTCAAGGGAGAATAGGAAAAAGTGGAAATGAAAGTAATCAACAACTCTTTGGAGGAGTTTCATTTTGAAGGGGAAAAGGGAACGAGGAGGTGGCTGAAGCAGAATGCAAGGTCAAAGGTTTCCTTTGAAGATGTAAAATTTGGAAACGTTTGCTTGTGGCTGGGAAGGATGACGTTGACTGTGGAGTTCATGGGCTGAGGTGAGGGGACAGCTTGGTTTGCCAATCTGTGAGGGGAGGGGAGCTGGGGTCAGAGCGCGTGGGGTGGGGAGCAGACACTGCTGTCCCTGTAGGCCAGGATGGAGATGGCGTGGCTCCTTCACTTGCTAGTGAAGGGCTGGGAAGCTGGGAGGGGGGATTTGGTGCTGTCTGCTGCCTGCCATCTCTCCAGGAGATCTTTGAGATGAGAATGAGTAGGGATGGAGAGAAGAAGGTGAGAAGGTCTTGAGATGTCAGATCTCTCTGGAGAGCCTGTCCATCTGAGCTTTGAGATCACATCGTTAGAGAATGTGGCAGGCCTGGTCATGTGGATGTCTCTGGCTGCAGGGACACATATGGAGAGGAGGTGGGTTCCCCTGAGGCTGGGCACTGTGCCGGACAAATAAGACGGAAGAAGAGAGGAGCACAAAGGCTTTGCTCTATCGGTGGAGCGAAGAATCCATGTTGGACGAGGGTGGCGTCACAGAGAGCAATGGCACAGATGGTGAAGAAAGGCTCCTGTAGGCCAGTGTGGTTGGAGGGGAGCTCCGTGGGCCATGCCAGCCCACATGAAAGAGACAAGGAGGTGGCCAGAGGTGGATGCTTGGAAATGAGATTGCGAAGAGGGAGCCTCACGGTCATGCAGAGGTTCGGGGTGTGCTGATGGCAGGGGCAGCAGAGGTGGGGCTGAGGTCAAGGGGCTGGGGGCAAGACTCTTGGGGGCATGAGGTTTTGTGCATGGAAGCCTCGGGCATGGTGACAGGAGTAGCATGGGGGCACCAAAGTCTTCAAGACACTTGCTTTATCTCCCTCTGGAACGTGAGGTCCTTGAGAACAGAACTCCCCTGAGTTATGGGGTGCCTGGGTGGCTCGGGCGGTTACACAGCTGACTCTTGATTTCATCTCAGGTCATGATCTCAGGGTTGCAAGATTGTGCCCCGCTTTGGGCTCTGTGCTGAGCATGGAGCCTGCTCAGGATTCTCTCTGCCTCTGCTCCCCGCCACCTCACACACTCACACCCTTCCCCACCCCCCACCCATTACCTCCTCCCCAGCTCGGGCTACTTGGTCTCCAGTTGGGCTCCCTCAGATTTGTTTTCCACACTGCTCCTTCTATAATCTGACTGTGTCTCTCTGCTGAGGAGCAGACCAAGCCCATTGCAGGCTCGTCAGGCCTCTCTTGATTGGCCACCAACTTCCTGTCAGCCCCACGCTTTTCCCTTCGTCTGTGGGCCAGTGCAGACCCAGTGCAGCTGGGAAAGACCTGGGGCTTTGCTGCCCACCTGCGAAGGTGCCCCCCCTTCCCACCCTTCACATTTAAATCAGAGGGCACTTCCCCCACTGCCAGGCCCAATTTCTGTTCCAGCCTGACTGTCCCCGTCATTTTTGTTGCTCAGGACTGAATACATGGGCCCCAGTTATCTGCATCCCACCCCTCTGCTTGAGTGGATCTGAGCCCACGGTTTGTGGAGGTCAAGTCCACATTGGGTGTGTCTGCGGCACCCAGAATGGGCGTGTGAGTGAGAGCCCGCGTGCATGCAGCTGGGTGAGCGCCACTGTCAGGAGCATAAGGGAGGAGCTGAGGGCTGTGCACTACCAGTGGGACCAAGAGCAGAGCTGGGAGGTTTTATTACCAGAAAATCTCTACACTGTACATGGCAGTGAGGGGTGGTGGGTGGGGTGCCCCCCCAGCCTGCCTGCCTTACCCACCCGGGGCCAGCGTGGATGCAGGGGTGTGTCCCAGATGTCCACTATTGGCCCTTGCCGGGGAACAGCAGAGCACCTTTCTCTTCTCCTGTCCCAGAGCCACACAGGACTTTCAGGGCCGGTCACAGGGCGCCGGGCCCTTCTTCCGCTCACGGCTCAGGAGCGTTACCAGCTTGGCCTTGAAGCCCGTGTGAGTGCTGGGGCGGCCAGAGCTCGCAGTTTCATCACTGTCGCCCAGCTCCAGTTCCAGCAGCCTCCGGTACTGAGCCTCCAGGCTGCTGTCATGGGTGGGGCCCGGCCAGCCCAGGTCCTCGCTGTTGTGGTAGATGGGGCTGGCCAGGGGGCTGCGGCGGCTGGAACCCTCCTGCCCCGGGTCCTTGTCCCTGGGCAGCACGGGGCCTGCCTCCAGCAAGCACAGGTTCTCATAGAGGTGCTCGGCGTTGGCTGGGGGCCCACTGGCCCGCTTGCACACTGATGCATAGAGCCCAGACACCGGCTCATCACGGGGCACCGGGTTTAACTGTGGAGGCAGGCTCTGAGGGCCCGGATCTGCTAGTAGGGCCCTCCGAGAGCTGGGCGGCTCCAGCCCTGGGGGCACTTCCCGAAGCTCTCCTGGCGGGTCCAGTGAGGGCAGGGAGGTGGCCCGAGGCAGGGGACAGGGCCGGGGTCCAGACAGCTCTGGCAGCCGTTCCCGCTGGCGGGCAATGGCAGCGGCCACTGCCCTGCACAGGTCAGGGGCTCGGGGGCTGCTGAAGGCGAAGAGACCCTCGCCCGAGTCACAGCGGCGTCCAGCTTCAAAGGAGAACACGTCCTGGACACGGGGTTGGGGGTGGTATGGGTGGGTTAGCGGCAGAGGGACCTAAGCACCCCTCCACCCACCAGCTTTCCCGGCAGGGCACTCCCTGACCCTCACCTTGTCAGAGCCGAACTTTCGTAGGAAGCGGTAGGGCCAGGTGTAGAGGGCCTGGGGGCTGGAGGCTTCCCTCAGCTGGATGGTGTCTTGGCCTAGCACTAGGAGGTAGGGCCCCTTCAGCTGGCAGCGGGTGGCAGCTTCGGTCCTCTGCACCACCACTGGAAACTCGCCTGCTGCAGGCAGGAGGGCAGCGAGGCCATCAGGTACAGCACGCCTGGGCCCCCAAAGATCCCAGCCCCGGGTGGAGGACGACTGAGGCTGCCCCTGCGCCTCCCTGACTCACCTTCCTGCCAGGAGGAGTAGATGGAATTCTCCTCCATGGGGACCAGGCCCCTCTTGGAAGCTTCCATCTCCCCTGGGCCTGAGGAACACTCCCCTGTTCCCTGGAGAATGAAGAAAGGTCAGAAGTTAGAGCCCTCCCCCATACCTCTTTCTACATCCTTCGCCTGGGTTCAGTAACCCAGGACTTCAGGGCAAGCAAGAACATTCAGGGACCAGGGTGCCACTTCCAGCTCTGTTCCTGACACACTGTGCCACCCTGGGGACCCCTCTGTTTCCCCACCTGCAGCCCCCCAGGCGCCCCCTTGAGGGTGCTGAGAGTTGTAAAGTAAGTGACACATGAGAAGGTCCCCACTGCACTTGTACTTGGCCAGGGACTGGGCCTGCCTGTGTGTGTCCCTAACAGCTTGGAGTGATCAAGGGGCAGGAGCTTCAGGGGTGGCACCTGTGAGTGAACTGGCTTCTCCAGCCTTCTCCACGCCGTTTTTACCAGCTTCCCTCGTATCCTATGAGTTCTGTCAGCACCTCCACCACAACCACCATGGCCCACAGTAGCACAGCCCTGGTCACATGCAACAGCTTCCTCACTGGTCTCCTTGCTCTTGTCCATTTCCTTTTTTTTTTTTTTGCTTTTACCTTAATATATGGTGATAGGGGTGCCTGGGTGGCTCATTCGGTTAAGTGTCTGCCTCCAGCTCAGGTCATGATCCCAGAGTCCTGGGATCGAGTCTCACATCAGGGTCCCTGCTCAGCGGAGAGCCTGCTTCTCTCTTTCTCTGCCCCTTTCTCTGCTCATGCTCCCTCCCTCTCCGTCTGTCAAATAAATAACATCTTTAAAAAAATATTGTGGTAAAATACACAACATAAAATTTACCATTTCACCATTTTAAAGTGTATAATTCAGTGGTTTTAGTATAGTCACAAGATTGTGTAATGGTCACCTTTACTTAGTTCCAGAATTTTTTTTCTTTTAAGATTTTATTTACTTATTTGACACAGCAAGAGAGAAAGAGGACAAGCAGCGGGAGCAGCAGGCAGAGAGAGAGGGAGAAGCAGAAGCCCGACATGGGACTTGATCCCAGGACCCCGGGATCATGACCTGAGCCGAAGGCAGACGCTCAACTGACTGAGGCACCCAGGCGTGTCTAGTTCCAGAATTTTTCATCATTCCACATGGAAACCTATTAGTAGTCACTCCTCACCCTCCCCAGCCCCTGGCGACCACTAAACTACTTTCTGTCCCTATGGATTGGCCTATTCCAATGTGTTTCACATACATAGAAGGATACTAATGTGTGGTCTTTTGTGTCTGGTCCCCTTTATTTAGCATGATGTTCTCCAGGTTCATTTACGGTGTTAGCATGTATCACTACCTCATTCTTTTTTGTTTGTTGTTTTTTGTTTTTTTAACGGTCGGGTAGTATTCTGTTGTGCGGCTAGCTTATATTGGGTGTATCAGTTAGCAGACATTGAGGTCGTCTGCACCTGTGGCTGTTGTGAATGCTGCTGCGCTGGGCATTCTCATACAAGTTCTGTTGGAACACCTGCTTCGATTCTCTTGGGTATACACCTACGAGTGGAATTGCTGGGTCATATGGTAACTCTATGTTTAACTTTTTGAGGAACTGCTAGGCTCATTTCCTTTTGGTCCATCATGGACCCTGTGAAGCTTTTTTTTTTTAACGATTTTATTTATTTATTTGACAGACAGAGATCACAAGTAGGCAGAGACAGAGAGGGAAGGAGGCTCCCCACTGAGCAGAGAGCCCGATCCCAGGACCCTGGGATCATGACCTGAGCCGAAGGCAGAGGCTTTAACACATTGAGCCACCCAGGCGCCCCGACCCTGTAAAGCTTTAAAGCTCTCAGTCCCTGTCTCCCCAAAGAACCTCCCCCCGCCAAAGGCATCTGTTTCACTCACCCTAAACTCTGCATGTATCCCAAAGTAGTTCCAGCTGGCTCCCACCAAATTCTCCATCTTTGCCTTCTCTTGGGCTCCCTCCCACTACTTACCCTCCAGCCACAATGGCCTTTCTGCCCCTTTAACACACCAAACTTTCCCATGCCATAGGGTCTTTGCCCATGCTGCTCCTTCTGTTCAAGACACTCCTCAGACCTCAGTGTCTGGATCACTCTTGCCTCAGATCTTTGCCTGATGGGTTCTTATTTGTCCTTGAGGACTCGGCTCACTGTCCCTTGCTGAGAGGTCTTCCCATCTAACATCCTGCCATTCACGTCTGGTCCCACCACCCTTTCATTTTCTCCACAGCATTAATGGCCATCTGAGATTCATTTTGGGGACTTTGGGGCTATTTCCCCAAAGGCTTGTGGGTGCTTGGCAGGTGCTTGCTGAGTGACAGGGTGTGAGTGAGCATAGAGGTGAACAAGGTCAGGTGGCCCACCTCTGGCCTCTGGATGCCCTGCCCACCCACCTTATGCTCACCTGGAAGGCCAGCTGGCAGATGGGGCCCATCCATTCCTGGCGATGCTGTGCGGCCAGTAGGTGGCTTCGCTCTGTGGTGGTGAGCAGGAAGGCGCTGGTGTCCTTGGGGCAGCTCTCGCCGTCAGCCGGCAGCACAGACACGCAGTCTGCCAGGCGGATGACTCGCCGTTCCCCACGCCGGCTGGGTCCTGTAGGCCTGTCCCCTGCTGGCCCCAGGCCACCTTCCCGGACCTCCCAGCTCTCCAGCCGTGCCACACCTGATGGGCTTCCTGCATACAGCAGACCCCATACCTTCCGCCAGGACTTCTGTGGGAGACGAGGATGGGGGAAAGACACTTGGGTGGTGGTTCTCCCTGTAGTTCAGCTCAGCACTAGCAAGGGCTCCTGGCCACCCGCCTGGCCTCTGCTTCCCCCAGATCTCAGGGCCCTAGAGGAGGAGGCCCTGCCAGGGCCAGAGGAGCAGGGAGAAAGAGTCCGTGCTTGGGGCTGGTCAGCTGTGGGTTCAAATCCACACCACCAATTGCCTCACTGGGACCCCTATGAGCACTAGTGCCCTCCTATCTCAGAAGCCATGGGAAGGCAAGGTTGGGGCTTCTACTGGATTGTGACTCTGACGCGGTTCAAGCAGACCACCTGACACTACCTTTACGTTGGTGCCCCCTCTGCCCTCTCCATGAAGAAAAGGTCACCTGGGCCATGGGACAAGGGCTGAGGCAGGAGGGAGGCCTCAGGCTCACGATGGTGAGGAAGGAAACATGCAAATAGTGTCAAGCAAAGGAAACAGACTGTTTATCTCCCTGGGCAGCAGCGGCAGCCGAGCAGTGAGGGCGTGGGGCCTGCTGCCAGGGGAGAGAAGTGAACTCCCCAGCTGTGGCCGGTAACGGGGCTGGGAGGAGCTGAGCCCTCTTCTGCAGGGTGGGCCTTCTCTACAGGGGCCACAAGGCTGAAGGCTGCTGGGTCATCCGACCTCTCAGCTCGGCCCTGCCCCACCACTGGGATTCTCAGATCCTCTGCACTCTTGGCTTCCCCATAGGTAAACAGGGCAGGCTCTCGAAAAGGCCCATTTAGCCCGAACCTCTCAAGCTGAGAATGGGGCTCTATTCTACTCCCCAGCACCTTGGTTGGGTCCCCCACCGACTCCCTTCCCCATTCTCCCAGCTCCGGGTGGGCCGAGGCTGGGGCCCACGCCTACTGTCCTGGGCAGCTCCTGGAAGCCAGGATCCCCACCTTGCCGAATTTGACGTGCTGCTGGTAGAGGATGCCGTCCTTGATGGGAGTCTCCAGAGGCTCCATGGCCGCTGCCAGGCCCCAGGACTGCCACTCCGAGGGCCTGAGGAGACTGGTGACAGGCAGGAGGGGAACTCCTCACACTTCCCCTTCTGGCCACTTCCCCCTCCCTCTGTCCAGAGAGGCAGCTGCAGGGCTGGGGGGGAGGGGAGCCCGTCTTCAGTAAAGGAGCTCAGATAGGGGGTGGGGACATCACATACTTCTTCCTTGGGGTCCTGCTGGCTCAAGGTGCCCACCTGTGCCCAGCAGGGGCTTCAGACCACCGGAGGGCACCTGACCTCTGCCTGCACCTGGCTGGCTGTGATTCAGAAGCTTTGAGCTCTCCTCTGTGCAGGGTAGCCGTACACCCTGGCACCTGACATTCCTGCAACCTGGTCCCTGCCCAAGGACCTCCTTTAGTCAGACTGGCCAGCTCCTTGCTTTCCTACTCTTGAGTCCTGGTTGGTACCCTCTCAGCGCCGCTCTGCTTGTCTTTATCTTGGAAATATTTCTAATATTCTCCTGCTCCCCTCTGTCTTCACAGTCCCTGTCCATTACCAGCCTCTTAGCTCCCCGTTGAACCACTGCCCCACAGGGCCCACTGTGGTCCTCTCCACCAACCCATACCAACCCCTCCAACTCCCCCCATGCCGAGGGGTGTAGCCTGGGCTCCTCAGCCCTGCACTCAAGGTGGCCTGTTCTGGCCTCCACCTCCCCTCAGCCCAGTGCCTCCAGAGAAACCCTTACCACTGTGCCACTTGAGCTCTGGGCTGCCTTTTTCCCTGGGAGGCCCCTCTTGACCACCCAGCACTGAGAACAAGGGCCCCACCAGTGAACCCGTCCTCACGCACAGCCCGGTCATGTGAGTGTGGGTGGCATGCCCCTAGTGGGTCCCTGGAGAGCTCACATGCTCTTTTGAAACTTTGCTTCCGGCTAGGCACCTATTTATTTATTTATTTATTTATTTATTTATTTATTTTTGCCTCACCTTGCTGGAGACTACCGTTGGGGCTCTGAGTGTGTGTCTGAATTCTGGGGACAACCTCTTGTCACTCATTCAATGCCACCTTTAGGAAGGCATGGGTAACCAGGCTGAGCAATACCGTTTGGGGTCACATACGGGGTGTGGGCAGGAAGTCTTTTCCAAGGGCCTTTCCACCTGACTTTGTGTCCCTTGTGGCCTGGGAAGCCTCAAGCTCCGGCAGCCAGACACCCTGTCCTTTGCATTCTCATTGCCATTTCAATGATGAGGAAATCGAGGCTCAGAAACATTAAGTAACCTGCCCAAGGCCAAACACCAAGTGACAAACATGACTTGAGCAACTGCTGTCCTGCCGGGATAAGCATGTGGTCTCGCACATGAAGTGCCAGGCCCAGAGGAACTGCGGCCTGTGCTCTTCCTCTGCCTGTCCCTTGCCAGATGCTGAGATCCTGCACCATCTGCCACCCTGTTATTCCCAACTCCTGTCTCTCCCACTTACCTAAGAGCCTCCCAGCAGGCGTCTCCCTAGATGGCCTGGATCCTGAGCCCAGCAGACAGCCAGGCACAGAGTGAGGTCAGTGAGTGCTAGCGGCATTAGCGGCTGTCCTGTGGTGTCTGCTGCTCCCTCAGCAAGGCAAAAAGAGGGATCCCCCTGTGAGTCTGTGTGGGCAGGCAAGTGGGCAGGGGGCCTGAGGCAGGAAGTTACCTCCCAAGGGGCCCCAGGAGCTTCATACAATTGACAGGAAGAGGGGGAGGCTGGGGCAAGGTTGGAGATTATAAGACCCAACCAGAGACCAGAAAACCTACCCATTTCCCCCTGGCCCACCAGTATGGTCTCTCCCTGAGTCACAAATCCAGCTAAGTCCAGAGGAGATACCCAGGCCCCCGCCAGGGAGCCCTGGCTACGTGGCTCTCCCCACAACTAAGGCCATGCAGGCCAAGTGTTGGCAGTAAAGGCAGAGTCCTGCGTTATGGCTCAGGGGTCCCCAGTCTGGAGGGCTTGAGGGCCAGGCTTCAGAGGACGGAAGCCTGAAAACCCAACCGAGGATTAGGGTTCGGGCCTAGGGCATGGCAAGCCCCAACTGCCAGTGCTGTGGTTGGATCCCTTGGGGAGCTGAGTAGAGGGTGGGTTGAGCTGGCATTCGGACCGTTTAGAGCGCTTTCTCACAGGCTTCAGACAACACCATGCGGGACCCCGGACCAGGCCCAGGCGGCTCCCCCAGAGGCCCCTGCCACTGGAATTGAGCTCGCCAGGGCTTTCAGGCCAATTCTCACGAGCTTTCTGCTCAAATCAACACCGATGTGGGCAGAAAGCTGGTGAGAATTGGCCGGCACTGGGCGGTGATTCAGACCGTGAGAGGGCCCCGTGGTGGCAGCGCTTTCTCGCTGGGTGCATGTTCGGACCATGTGCGACTTCGAGCTGGGCCCATGTGGCTCCCTGAGGGCCCTGCGGAGGAAAGCTCCCTGGGGGCAGAGTTAAGGTAGGGTGTGAGCATAAGCATCAGGCTCCGGCTATTTTTGGCAAAAGGGTGCGCCGAAGGTGAGGGTGGCCTGAGGTGGGCTTGCAGGTTCCTCTCGCTCTGAGTGTTTCCCGCAGCTCCCAAGGGCACTGTTTCCTCCTAGGTGGCAGGCAGAGTCCTGCGGTTATGGCTCAAGGGTCCCCAGTCTGGAGAGCTTGAGGGTCAGGCCTCGGGGGAAGGAAGGCTGAGAACCCAACCCTGGGTTAGGTGGTATGGCAGGCCCCACCTGCCGGTGTGAGGCGGGCTCCCTGGGGTGCTGAGTAGAGGGCGGGTTGGGCTGGCATTCCGAGGTGACCCAGGCAGCATGGGCACCCGGGGTTTAGAGAGCTTTCTCACAGGCTTCAGGTGACACAACGTGGGACCCTGGTCCTTTCCCAGGTGGCTCCCCAGAAGACCCCTGCTGCCAGAAGTGTGTTTGCCAGGTCTTTCCGGCCAATTCTCATGAGCTTTCTGCCCAAATCAATGTCAATTTGGGCAGAAAGCTCGTGAGAATTGGCCGGCGCTAGGCAGTGATTTGGGCCTTACGCTTGCGCCTGCTGGGAGCGCTTTCTCACTAGGTGTGTGTTTGGGACATTTAGGACCATGGTCCAGGTCCAGGCAGCTTCTCTGACAGCAAGCTCCAGGGGCAGAGGTGAGGGAGGGGGAGAGGCTGAGCATCCGGCTCTTGGTTTGTAGCCCAGGGTGGTGCAGAAGGTGGGGGTGGCCTGAAGGGGGCATGCAGGTATCTCCCACTCTGAGGGTTTTGCACAGCTCCCAGTGTTACGGCCTTCTCCTGGGTGGCAGGCCAGGGGTCCCCAATCTGGAGGGATCGGAGGGCCAGGCCTCTTGGGATGGAAGATTGACAACCCAAACTAGAGTTTGGGCCTTGGTGCGTGGCAGGCCTTATCTTTTGGTGCTGTGGCAGGATCCCTGAGGGGCCGAGTGGAGGGCATGATGCAGACGGGGTATCAAGTCCGGGTTTGTGGTCCAGGGGGCCACCAATTATGGGGGTTGCATCAGGGGTACATGCAGGTTTCTATGCTTTGAGGGTTCTCTGCAGCTCCAAAGGGCACAGTTTCCTCCTGGGTGGTAGGCGAACTCCTGGTGTGTGGCTTGGGGGTCCCCTATTGGGGGGCTTGGGGTCCAGGCCTCTGGGGACGGAAGACTGAGAACCACACCCAGGTTAGGGTTCGGGCCTATGGGTATGGTAGTCCCATCTGCCAGTGGTGAGGTGGGCTCCATGAAGAACTGAGTAGAAGAAAGTCTTGGTCAGCATTTGGAGGCAATCCTGAGGATTCCCAGTCCCCCTAGCACACCCCCAGTCCTCCTGAGTGTCCCTTGTCATGGCACTTATAACACGAGGCTGTCATTTTTGTCTCTCAATCTGTTCTTTTTGCTTGGAGTAGATCTCTCTCACAGATGCCTGGCTGGATGACAGATGGATGAATGGTTTTGGCATCTTTTGTCCTGAAATAGCAGGCATCCTTCAAAACCCTGATGGGCAGGGGAAATCTCTGTCCCTCTGTGTGCCCCCAGCCTTGGTAGAACCTAGTGTCCAGGGCAAGGGATTTGGGAGTTCTTCCAGATTAATATTGTTCTACGAAAGTGGCTTCCTTCTGAGATCACTACTATGGAACCACATTGGGTGGCTGTTCCTGTGGGACAGAAAGCATGCTGCTGTATTGTATCATCCTTGCACACTGTGGCTACCAAAGAGGAAATGCAAGTTCACCCTCACAAGTTCACACTTACACCTCTATTTCTAAGCATCACTACATGGAAACGACAGTGAATTCCCATTGGGCTGGAGACCTGAATAGACGTGCCATTCAAGGTGTCAGTAGAGGAGGTTGGAGATGGTGTTGTGGCTAAAAGGATGGAAGTCCTTGCCTCTGGGGGTGAAGAACTTAGATTTGACCCAGAAGGTGTTATGATCTACTCAAAGAAGGGACATGATCCTAGGGTCCTTGAGACCAGGGATCGGCACAGACTTTTCTGGAAAGTCTTCTGTAAAGATTTTCTGTTAGGTGTTGCAGTCCACGTGGTGTCTCTGACAATGACTCTACTCTGGCATTGTGGCTTGAAAGCAGCCACAGACTGTCCATAACTAATGCTCCAGCCACACTGGATTGAAAGAATATGGTGGGGGGGGGTCCCATCGGGCCCATGGGTGGTAGTTTTCCATACCCCAGATCTGGAACATGATGGGTGATGGGGGAGAGGCCTCCTCTTTCCAGTGGCAGAGTGGGAAGACACTGGGATCCATCCTGTCTGACCCCGGCCCCTGGACTTGAAAGAAAGAAAAGATGATAGTGAGCTTGGCCAACAGTGAAGGCCTCAGCAATTCCCTCCCCCACCGCCCATGTCTTTGGAGGCCTTGAGCTTCCCACCACACGTTTGTCTGTGGTTGAATTCCATGTAGGTATTGTTTGGCTGAGTCAGTCTCCATTGCCTGGCGGGTATATCTTGCGGGTTATGTACCATGCAGAGGGTCATCTTGTTCAGGCCAAGACCCTGAGCACCTCTAGGGTTCTCCTGAGTTAGCGGAGGATCTAGCATGTGTGGGCTTCAGGACGAGTCCGATTGAGCCCTCTGCAATGTTCTAGAGCACCTGGCTTCCTGAGCCCTCTGTGGCATTGAACAGGCCTGGCCTAGGCCTCTTGTGCAGTCACTATGGAAAAGCCTAACTTTTTTTCCCATCTTCCTCTACCCTCTGTCTGCATCTGGATTTCCCACCAACTGTGTCTTTGCAGACAAACTCTGAGATGGCCTATGGCTTGGGACTCCATTGACATCCCAGAGTCTTGTTATAACCAGTGTCAGAGCTGACATGATCTTAGTTCCCAGAATAGGCCCCATGAAGAGACCCAGGAGAGTCTGGGTGTGCAGGAAAGATCAATGGGTGATTTCGGCTCTAGCTAAAGCTACTCGGGGGGATCATGCTGGAGGCCATCTCCCATCTCAGTCTGGCTCTTCCCCTGATTTTCCAGACGACCTAGGAGAGTCCCTTCATTGGAGCTTGAGGCTCATTCTTTCTCACATGAGGAAATGTGTTTAGATGAATTGATTCATTCAAGACGATGGAATGACCTCCTAGGAAGTTCTGGGCAGTCTCCAAGATGGATTCTACCTCAGGAATTTGGACTCCCATGGTCCCCGCTCCTATGGACTTCCCCCATTGGACACAAGGGCTGTTCTGTGGAGATTCCCCAGGGTGACACTGGGCTGGCCCCTGTCCTCAGGGTGTGCTCCAGGCCATGTGTTGTGACTGAGGGGCCATGAGCAATTCTGAACCCAGACCAAATGTTCGGCTGTGCTGCCTTCCTTGCACACAGATAGCAGTGCCTGGCTCAGGCCTTCACTGCAACAGCTGAGCGGGCTCAGTGAGGACCTTGCCCGGGACACTAGCCCCGTGACACTGTGAGGGCACTCGGAGTCCACAGTGAAGTCATGCAATGCGACAAGGGATTCTGCCTCAGGGGAGATGATGCGAGGTACTGTTTCACAGCTAACATGACCAAAAAGATAATTTAAATCACAGAATCGTAAATAGTTCCGCATACTCTGTATGATGGCAGTGATGGGAAAAGTGAACGATGGGGTCCGAAAGGGGAATGGAAGATCCAAGAAGCATGCTGGAGTCGTCAGGGGATAGGGGGTGTCTCATGGAGGGAGGGACCAGGAGGATCATCATGGGTTCCAACAAGGTAGCATTAGGGTGTGTGCTCTGCCTGATCCACGCCCCCTGGGAGCACTGGGGACATTCTAGCTCCAGAGGGTCTACAGAAATGCAAACTGGCCTGAATTCTATTAATTTGGGATTGGACTCTTTTGGGTTTTTCACATAAAGTATCATGTCATCTGGGAAGAGAGCATTTGACTTCTTTGCCAATCTGAATTGCCAATTTGCCAAGTGAATTATTTCTTTTTGTAGTCTGATTGCTGAGGCTAGGAGTTCTAGCACGGTGTTGAACAGCAGTGCTGAGGGTGGACATCCCTGTTGTGTTCCTGCTCTTCAGGAAAAAGCCCTCAGCTTTTCCCCATTGAGAATGGTATTCGCTGTGGGCTTTTCATAGATGCTTTTTATAAAACTGAGGAATGTCCCCTCTATCTGTACACTCTGAAGAGTTTTAATCAGGAAAGGGTGCTGTATTTTGTCAAATGCTTTTTCTGCATTCATTGAGAGGATCCTATGGTTCTTGTCTTTTCTCTGATGAATGTTCTCTATCATGTGATTGATTTGCCAATGTTGATCCACACACTTGCATCCCAGGAATAAGTTCCAGCTGGTCATGATGGATAATCCTTTTAATGTCCTGTTGGATCCTATCAACTAGGATCTTGTTGAGTATTTTGGTATATGAATGATGTTCATCAGGGATATTGCTTGGTAATTCTCCGTTTTGATGCCTGTTTGGGGGATCAAGGTAATGCTGGCCTTGTAGAATGAGTTTGGAAATCTTCCTTCTGTTTCTACTTTTTGAAACAGCTTCAGAAGAACAGGTATTATTTCTTCT